AAAGATGAAGTCAGGAAAGCAAAGGCTCAGAATGAACAAATACTTGCAACAAAAGTAAAAGATAATTTCTAAAAGTTTCTTTCAACATATAAATAACAAGAAAACAGTCAAGGAAACAGTCAGCCCACTAAAGAGAGAAGATGGCAAGGAAGTAAAAGGCAGTAGAGAGAAAGCAGAGTTGCTTAACTAATTCTTTGCATCAATCTTCACACTGAAGAAATTATAGCCCAACCTACCAAAAACATAACTGTAAAAGACAGACTAGAAATAAAAATTAAAATAAGCAAGAAAATGGTAAGAAAACACCTATCTGACCTTGATGAATATAAATCACCGGGAGCTTATTACATCCCAGAGTTCTGAAGCAGCTGGCAGATGTTATCTTAGAACCATTGTATCATATCTTTAAAAAATCTTGGAGCACAGGGGAACTACCAGAGGATTGGAAAAGAGCTGATGTGGTTCCCATCTTCAAAAAAGGGAAGAAAAACAGATGCAGGAAACTACAGACCAACCAGCCTAACATCAATACCTGGGAAGATACTGGGAAAAAATAATCAAAAACAGATCTGCAAACATCTAGACACAAGTAAAGTAATAACTAGAAATCAGCATGGGTTTGTTAAAAACAATCATGCCAAACCAATCTTATTTCATTCTTTGACAAAGTGACTAAATTAGTAGACTAGCGAAATGCTGTGGACATAGTATACTTTGATTTCAGCAAGGCATTCAACAAAGTAGACCACAACTTACATTTTGGCAAACTATAAAAATGTGGGATAGACAGCATCACCACCAGATGGATTTGTAACTGGCTGACAAACCATATTAAATGAGTAGTCCTTAATTGTACTACATCTACATGGAGGGGAGGAGTAAGCAGTGGGTACCACAAGGTTCTATCTTAGACCTAGTAGTCTTCAAGATCTTAATAAATGACTTAGATGAGGGGATAGAAGGGGAACTCATCAAATTTGCAGATGACACTAAGCTGGCAGGAATAGCCAAAACCCCAGAAGACAAACTCAGGATCCAAAAAGATCTTGACAGGCTTGAACAATGGCCCCTATCCAACAAAAAGAAATTTAATGTGGAGAAAAGCAAGGTTTTACACTTCAGCATGAAAAATCAAAGTTTGAAATGTATTTGAATGTTAGTGGCTCAGGTTGGTAGGTGGGCTGTTGATTTGACCCTCCAAGCTTTGCAGTTTGGTTGCAAACGTTTCATCACTATTCAAGGAAACATCATCAGTGCTCTTTGAATGGTGATTATCTGTCAGAACTCTGGCCTTTAAATAACTTTTTATCTGATGCAAATTAGTATAGGTGTTGCTTGTTCGGCTATTTCTGAGTCATGGTCTGATTTTGGACTGTTTGATTGGCTGGCTGTTGTTACTGAGACATAATCTTTGGTTTTAAGTACCATCTGTGTGATTCAAATTAGCATTAGTGTTGTCTTTTTGGATACTTCTGAGTAATCATCTGGTTTCGGACTGTTTGATTGGTTGGCTGTTATTGAGATGTAGTCTGATTTCTTGGGAGCTGATGGATTATAATTTTGTTGCTGCCCAGTGGGATGCCTGTTTGTTTGTTTTAAATGCTATTTTTGGGATTGTGGTTGATGCAGTTCTTTCATTCTCAGTGATTGGTAGACTGGATCAATGTCAATGTGTCTGTTTATTAAATTATTGGTGGAAAACCAGGCTTCAAGGAATTCTCTTTCTCTCCTTGATTTCACCTGGGTTACAATTGTGGTCCCGGTTCCCGGATCAGATTTGTGTCCTTCTGAATCTTAGTGGATGGACATGACGGATCATGGGTCATGTCTTTTGATAGCTAGGAAGTGTTCATGCAGTCTGGTTTCTAACCAAAGTTTCTAACCAAAGTTCGATTTTGACGGTGTCCGTCTGAGAATTGAGGTTGGTTTTTAGGCTATAACGAGATCATGTTGATGCTGTAATCTTGCTGTCATTTCTGAAATATTCTATACGTAGGGGATTGTGATTCATCTGGTTGTTATTGTTGTAGTTGTTTATATTGTTTGTATGTAGACATCTCTGGATGAAGTTTTGTGGTTTCCGTTTCTCTCAAAAGCTTTGTATAGGTGCTTCTATTCTACTGAGCTGATTTCTGTGGTGTTGCAATGAGATTCCGCTCTCCCAAACAGTGTTCTGATGCAGCTTTATTTATGGCATTTTGGATGGTTGCTGTGGAAGTTGAGGATTTGATCTGTATGTGTTGCTTTTCTGCATATAGATGTTATTAGTTGACCATTCATGGTTCTGGTTACAAGGATGTCAAGGAATGGCAGTTTATTATCATTCTCATTTTCTATTGTAAATGAGATATCAGTGAAGATGTTGTTGATCACCTAGTAGGTTTGATTAACCTGATTGCGCTTGATTATCACAAAGGTGTTGTCAATGTAACATACCCATGGCTTGGGATTTATTTCTGGAAGTACAATCTTTTGCATGAGAACTTCTGTGACTAGGCCAGATATAGGAGATCCCATTGGCCATCCCTTCAGTTGTTCATAGATCTCTCTGTCAAATCTGAAGTAGGTGATTAAGCATAGTTAAGGAGGAGTTCACATATGCTTTCTGTTGTGAGTGGTTCTATTTGTGGCTGTGCATTGTCCAGTAATTATTTGATTAGGTCGGTTGCTAGTTTCAGATCTACAGATGTGACTAATACGGTAACATCAAATGATATTATTGTTTTGTCTTCATCAATATAGAGATGTTTGAGCTTGTCCAGGAATTGCGTGGTGTTGTTTATGGAATATTGTGAATAATCAGTTAGGTACTTTAGACATGTCCACATTTCTTTTGCAAGTTTGTAAGTGGTGTGCCAGGGACTGAGACAATCAGTCCGAGTGGGGTGTTTTCTATTGCGCCTTTGGAAATCCATAGAACTGTGCTATGTTTGAATCAGTTGCTTTCATTTTCCAACATTCTTCTTTGGTGATTTGATTTAATTCTTGCAACTTTTTTTTTAAATGAAGGTTTTTTTTGTTACATATTTTAACTTCTTCTATAAACAAAGTGTTGTCCGGGTTTTCCCCCTTTACATCTTCTATTATGCATAGTTCATTTACATCATATTTTCATTTACATTTCAGTCATCTTATTTTCATTCCATATTTTCCCGCTTAATTTTAATTTCTTCTTAATATATAAACAATATCATTATTTGCCTCTCCAAATTAATCAAATTTAACATATCATTTCCATCTATTGTTCTATTTTACTATTAATAACATATATCTTCAAATTTAATTTTATATAATAAACTTTTCATTTAATTAGTGTTTTGAGGTCACTTCCCCCTTGTTTCCTTTTGGTATATAACTGTAAATCCAAGTTCAATCATCTAAGTATTTTTCTTTTTCTTTTAAATATATTTTTATTTTCAAAACAAACATACAAATCCTCCTTCTTTACCTACTGTAGTAAGCAAATCAGTTGGTTACAAAAGGATTTCGGGCATTTCTTCCACCGTCATCTAATATAATTCATATTAATTCTAATAGCTTAACTTGTTGTGAGAGTTGTTAGCTATTGGCCTGGATTACTTGCTTTGTAGGGCAGTGTGCTTCTTTTCTCTTGCATTTGTTGTTCTGTGCTTGGTTGCTGTCTTCAAACTTTGCATAAATTGTGGTCCAATGTATTATTGTATAAGAGCTTTTGCTCAGTGAGGCACTTTTTGTATTTATTGAGAAAATTGTGAGCATCTGTTATCAGTTGAATCATGTGTTTACCATTCTGTCTTGCTGTTGTCCATGCTGCTGGATGATTGATTAGTGTTTTGTAGTTAACGCTTCGAGGAGGTATGTTTCATCGTAGGTAGAAGAGTTACTCACATGTGGATACTTCTCTGCAGGCAAATGTCTCCCAATGATAAGCGGCATTGAGCATTGGACACCCAAAGGTGGTTGAAATGTATTTGACACACTAATGCTAATTTGCATCACACAGACAGTACTTAAAACCAAAGACTATGTCTCAGTAACAACAGCCAGCCAATCAAACAGTTCGAAATCAGACTATGACTCAGAAGTAGCCAAAAAAACAACACCCATACTCATTTGCATCACATAAAAAGGTATTTAAAGGCCAATGTTCTGACAGACGATTACAATTCAAAGTGTACTGAGAGGGACCTTGGAGTCCTAGTGGATGATCACTTAAAGATGACTCAGTAGTGTGCAGCAACAGCCAAAGAAGCTAATACAATCCTTGGTTGTATAAATAGAAGTATAGAATCAAAATCATGCATTAGTACCATTTTATAAGACCACACCTGGAATACTGCATCCAGTTTTGGTCACCACATAAAAAAAAGAGGTTGAGACTTGGGGAAAAATGCAAAGAAGAGGAACTAAGATGATTAAAGGCCTCAGACTAAAACATATGAAGAACAATTGCAGGATTTGGGTTTGGCTAGACTAGAGGGGACCTAATAACAATAGTACTTAGATTTATATACCACTTTATAGTGCTTTACAGAGTCAGCATATTGGCCCCAACAATTTGGGTTCTCATTTTACCCACCTTGGAAGGATGGAAGGCTGAGTCCACCTTGAACCTGGTGGGATTTGAACTGCCAAATTGCAGGTAACTGGCAGTCAGCAGAAATAGCCTGCAGTACTGCACTCTAACCACTGTGCCACTGAGGCTCATAGCAGTATGAGGCAGATAACAGTATTCCAGTATTTGAGGGGCTGCCAGAAAGAGGAGGGGTCCAATTTATTTTCCAAAGCACCAGAGGGCAGGACAAGAAACAATTTATGGAAACTAATCAAGGAGAAAAGCAACGTGGAATAAAGAGAAACTTCCTAACAGCAAGGACAAAGGACTGAACAGTCCCTTGTCTGAAAGAATATGCTTGAGATGTGGGCTGGACTGGAAGACCTCCAAGGTTCCTTCCAGCTCTATTCTGATTCTGATTCTGATCCTATGGCATTACTTTTGGGAAACTAAAGTTTTAACATACCAGAATGGTCTTGGTCAATCATATTAAAGATAATCTCCAAATCAGCTTTGTATCTATACAGAGTTTCCACCAAATATGGTTGAACCTAAAATATAATAGAGATTAAGAGAGAGCAAGAGAATGAGACAGATTAGAAATTATACAATACCCAATCTATGGTTGAAATCACAATACAGTTAGTCCTTGAGTTACGAATGTAATGGAGCCTGCCCATTCCATTCATAACCAAGGATTCATGGGAGTGAATCTTGTCCCTTGAATGAAATCACTCCCTCCTTTTGCCCTCACATTCGTTAATTGAATGTGAAGCTTATTAAGTGCACATGAGGTATTTCAGGCTGGGGAAGGCGATGGGGGGGGGGGGCTACATAGGCTATCTGCCTAAGACCACCCAAGGCATCCCCAACCACTGAAATACCTCAAGCTCCCTAAATTTCTTTTCCCACCCAACCTGCCATGATGGGTCACTTACCTTGTGACGATCTAGCAAGCAGTCTCCACTTTAGCCTTGTGCACCCTTTGTGGGCTGAAATGGAGCTTCTGAGGGCAATCAAGAGGCCTCACCCAGCACCTTGCTGGCCGGATGAGCCCCTCAGAAGCTCCACTTCAGCTAACAAGGTGCAGAATAAGGCCTCTGGATGGCCGAATGGGGCTTCTGAGGGGTGGATCCACCCCCCAGAAACTCCATTATGGCCGGCAAGGTTCCAGGCAAGGCCTCTGGATTGCCAAATGGGGCTTCTGAGGGGCAGATTCATCCCCTCAGAAGCAACATGCAGGATGAATGTTGAAGAGCCTCTAGAGTTGTTCAACTGCCATAGTGCTGCAAGATTCGTAGTTTCAGGGCTTGTTCAGAAATGGAAGGGGCTGCTGATCATGTAACTTTAAACATTTACTAAGGGAATGCGCATAACCCGGGGATTACCTGTACTGCAAACTATTTTATATCTTGTAAAAATTATATTTTAAAATGCAATTTATTCCATGGAAATCCAACATCCAGAATCCAAATTCTAAATTCTAAAGGATTTTCATTAAAAATTTAATTAAAATGAAGATATGCATTATCCTAAGAAAGCTTCCAGGTTTAACTTTTAATGTACTATCTACTCCAGACATTTATCTACATACAAAACAAGACCAGTTTTTATCAATGTGAGAAGCATATATGTTTCCTTTTTTATTGTGTATGCATAAACACAGTAACTATATTTTATACATATATTTACGTAAATATAATTAAATTGAATTAAATGAAATAATAACATTTTTTCCTTCTGTCTCTGCACGTTATTTTGTCCTGCCCTGCCTCTCTATGGAATGTCCAAGCTATTATTCAAAATAAAGTTCAGACCCTCTGAAAAAAAATCTGAGCATCTTTAATCACCTCACCTTTTTGATGGGTAGTATGATTTCTAAATTGTTAAAACATGAAAGATATTCCACACTTCCATCCGGAGCCAGGCAAACTAGTCGAGAACGGAGAGTTCTCCAGGGTATGTCAAGATGCAGAACTGATTCCATGGCAGAAGCCCATTGGCTGAGAGAAATCCTTCCTGTTAAAAAATGAAAAGTATTTTATGTTTCAAAGTAAACTCCCTATAAGAAGATGTGATATGTATTTACGTATCAAGCCACAACCCCCTCCAATGTCAATGAAAACATCATTGCAGGAGGTATTGTGGCATTGAGATTTCAATAAACTCAATTACAGGGTTACTTTTTAATTTAAAAAAACTTGCCAAGCATAGTGGCTAGCTTTTAAATGTGGACTAACTCCCAGAATTCCCCAGCCAGACATGCTCACTGGGGAATTCCGGGAGTTGAAGTCCACATATATTCAACTGGCTGAGGTCGAGAATTACTGTTCTAAAGACTGGTCCACCACACACAGACACACAAACACACACACATTTCACCAGCTTCACTAGAGCTTATGAAGTACACTATGTAGAATAGGGAATAGAGGAGGGTGACAAACCTACAGATTGTAGGTATCCTATTTGCACCACATCTCATCACATCATTGAAATTTGGTGGGAACCAGTTACATTTCAGCACTGAGTTTTAATTTGCTTTTGCTTTTTTTTTTCTTTTCAACATGAAACATCAGAAATTTCTCAAATGAATGAAAGGTGTGCAGATTTCAGCTTATGTGTATCTGTATAATTCGGGGGGGGGGAGGATTTAAAGGAGAAAATGGAAAATTAAAGTCTGTCAAAGACAAGGTTAAAATAAAGGGAAAGGTTTCCCTCACACATATGTAATAGACATTCCCGACTCTAGAGGGCAGTGTTTATCTCTGTTTCAAAGCCAAAGAGCCAGCACTGTCCGAAGAGGCCTCCGTGGTCATGTGGCCGGCATGACTAAACGCCGAAGGCGCACGGAGCACTGTTACCTTCCCACCAAAGGTGGTTCCTATTTTTCTACTTGCGTTTTTACATACTTTCGAATTGCTAGGTTGGCAGAAGCTGGGACAAGTAACGGGAGCTCACTCCATTACCCGGCACTAGGGATTCAAACTACCAAACTGCTGACCTTTCTGATCGACAAGCTGAGTGACTTAGCCACTGAGCCACTGCATCCCTTAAGACAAAGTTATTTCCATCCTTAAGAGTCTTTTTGATATGCTGATAAGACTAATCAATCAATAAATATCTTTCCTTAAAAGTCATCCCTCCTTGAAAAAAAGTGGCTGGTTTCTAACTTGGGTGTAAAATTTAAGTTGGGAATGTCAATTGGATTTTAACGTTAAGATTTCAGTCTTCCTAGTCCCATTCCTCCCTCCCCGCCCCCTGTGCTTAACCATTCCTGTGGGGAGGGTGGTAAAAATTGACTTCTCAAATGTTATCTGCTCCTGGTATGGTATCGTATGAGGAATGAGAAGAAAAAATAGACATTTTGATAATTATGAGCTCACAATTACTCATCTTAGAAACAGCTCATCTTTAGCTTATTGCCTGTCTGCTTTTCTCCATCCTCTATTGGTCATATCCCCTAACCTCTAATTAGAAAGCTTTGGAGCCTACAGAAGAAAGTGAGGAAACAAACCTTGCCATAGGAAAAGCCTTAATCTCTTCTGCTTTTGAAATGTGAGCCTTGGAATAATAACAGAATCAATTCCATCCTATAATAATTAATACTTGATGGGATTCTATATATTGAGTATAACAAATGCAACTATGGCAGGAAAACAGCACTTAAAAATAAATAAACATGGATATATAATGCCATAAACTGAAGCATTGAAAAAACTGTATTATTTCATATGCCATTGTCTTCTCTATTGCTTTGGACTGTGAACCAGCAGAGAGCCCTGCTTCCTGCAAATATTGCCATTTTTCTTGGATACCAATTGGTGTTCTGTACATCTATGAGTTCATTAGTAAGTTTACTAAGTTCATTAGTATGCTCACATAATTGGGCTTTGCAAATAATTACCCATTTAGTGGGCAATCTATATTTATGATGGTATCTGCATGCTTTCCTAATTATCCAATACTGACACATGTGGATTCTTTGAGATACTAATACAATAACCGCAATCTTCATTTAAAACCAGGGGCAAGCACATGTTTGAACAAAAACTTATCTGAAGGTAGTATGGCGCCAGAATTGGAGTATAGAAGAAGAACCTATATGTTCAATAGAAATATGGTAGCTCCTCCTGCAAATACATTTGGCAATACCAGAATGCCTCTTTCACATGATCAACATTCCTTCTTTATAGAAGAATTAGACTTCAACTGCAGCTGTTAATTATCAGAGGTTTTTTTTTTCTTAAGTAGTAATTGGCAGTCTCAAGAGGGCTGCAGCATATGCTTTTTCTTTTTGTGTTCATATGGAGATAATGAATTTATCTTTGATCTTTCCCCCCACCCCGCTCAGCAGGCACAAAGTAGGATGAAGCAACTTTCCTTTGGTAGTACCATGCCAGGAGCAGCCAAGAACAAGATTTAAAAGGTCAAGGTGTCAGCTCCATCCTTTTTTCCTTTTTCTTTTTTACATGCATCATTATATGTTAAAAATGGGGCACAGCATGAATCTTGCAGTCATGGGCAACATCTTGATTCTTTGTACTTCCTTCCAATGATATCCCTCACCATGAATGTGAAAATGAAGGAAGGTAAACTAGTATCACATTTGTACAGCAAGAGCTTTCTCCTTAGTGGGACAAGCATCATTAATTCAATTGTGCCCCATACTTCTGAGTTTTGAGGATCTTCAACCTACCAAAATTACCTAATATTTCAAGCCACTATTTCTTTATGATATAAGTCAATCTACAAAATCGGACAGAAGATGAGAGGAGATACCTGTAATTTATTGATTTCTCATAATTTTCTAGGGGAAGCCATTATTTCAGGTTCACTCTGAGTCTCTATGTTTGGTACTTACTAGGCTTCCTGACTCCTTTATAAAAAGACAGGCAGGCTCTAAACCAAAGACCGGACTCTAAAATAATAGGCATTTGCAGCAGTACTTTGAAGCCCCAGAAAGATCTTGCTTGGGTGGAAGAGAGCACTCTGGAGGATTATTTCAATGGCTGTTTGGGACTGGATATGTGTTGCCCCCTACAAGGGAAATCAGACTAAGGTACCAGTGCCATGTAAGTCAGTGCTACTTTTATTATAACAGGATCTTGCAAACCTGAATATGTTTTTCTCCCCTCCCCTTTATCTTAATGAAAACTGAAGAGAGGCTTGTCTGAGAGTTTTTCTCAATTTTCTTTCTTAGTCCAAGCTTAGTTCCCTCTTGTCCAACTGTTGCCTGGGTAATGGCTCTTCTTCCTGCCCTGCCCTCCATAGACAAATTCATCCATAGATGTATTTGTCTACAACACATCATGTAGTCAACTTTTAATCAGGTAACTCTTCCACAACAGATGTTTTGTCAGTGTATCTTGGCCCTAAAATATTTTCTAGTTCTTTTGAAGGAGAGTCTCTATCTCTCATCTATCTCTCATCTGATTTTATGCAGATTGTTACTAGAAACACAAGGCTGGAAATAACCATTTAAGCCATAGAACCCTCTATTCAGGGATCCAAGTTAAAGCTGCCCAAGTGGACAGGTCTCTCTCTAGTCCTGTCCTAAACACATCCAATGAATAGAAGACCACTGTTTTTTCAGAGAATTGGTTTCATGCTATTAAACTGTTTTTACTGTTGGGGAGTTTTTTCTAACGTTCAATTGAAATCTGACTTTCTGTAACTTACATCCATTATTTCATATTCTTCACTCTGGGACAAGAGAGAACAGGTCTTAAAGTTCTCTATGATAACATCTCAAGTGCTTGAAGACTACTATTATATTCAGTTACTCTTTTTCAGAACTAAATATCGTTCCATCCTTTTTCATGGGACTTGGTTTTCAGTCCCTTGATTTCCTTGCTATCATTCTTTGAATATGTTCCAATGTGTCTGCATTCCTCTTAAAGGGTGATTCCCCAGAACTGACAGAATAAATTACTTCCCTTGGTTTGGTAAATATACTTATGTTAATACAACTATTCAGAAACTAAGTTCTACTGCTAGGCATTAACTGTTCTCTAGTGGTCTGAAAAGGACATCTCACACTGGAAACATTGCCATTCTTAAAAGACAAGAATTACAGAGTTAGAAAAGATTACATGAGTCATTTTGATCAGCCTACAAGCTCATGCACTATTTTTGGGACAGCAGTGTCCATTATTCTAAATAATTTGATATCTCCCACAAATTGCATCTTTACTCAGTCCAGCTCATTTATGAATGATTCATAGAAGCATCTGTCCCATACAAATCTAGACTCTATTGCTTCTGTTCTTCTGTTATACAATTTGCTACTATTACAGTTCCTTGTCACATTTTCTTCCTATAACATGCAACATACAAAATTACTTGTACATAAAAACACAATATTGACAAACAAAATGAAACACTTTTTCAAATCACATTACCTGTGCAAATTGGATCATACTGGGTAAAAGCTGCAATGAGGTCTGATTTGTGGGTATAAAGTTTCTCTCGCAAACCCTTTAAAGCAGAAAGCTCAATAGCAGTCACTCTGCAAAGAAAATCATTAAACTAGTCAATTAGAACAACAAAATCTCTTTACGGGTCCATGTCAGAGTACAGAATTTTAGGAGTTCTGAAATTCCCATATGGAGAACAAAGAAAATACTTAAACATAATGGTGAACTTGAGTAATGCTGCATATCTAGTTAGAAAAATTGAAAAAAAAATAAAGTTGTATTTAGGAAAACAACTGCATGAGCAACAATATAATCTTAATGGTTCTTGTAGTCAGAGCTTTATACCATCAATTTAGATTTTTTTTCTTTAGTTATAAACTAAAATAGATGTAAAAAAAGTGAGGAAATGTAAGCAAAGTGTAGTATGTATAAAGTATGTACATCCAACAGAGAGATGGTTAACACATTTACATACATGCAGTACAATCATGATAAGGATGAAAAAGCATAAATAAGTGGCCATACTCGATTAAGTACAAATTGAGTTTGATAGTTATTAGCGTTACTATCGATTTAAGCTTTACCGGTAGTCCTACAAACAGTATTTTACCTTTGTACTGCTAGAGCTGATCAACAGCTAGTTTTGTGGAATGGAAGCAGATCAGAGGTGGGTTTCAAATTTTTTCCCTATCAGTCCAATGGGCATGGTTTGGCCGGGGGGGGGGTGTCATGTGACTGAGTGGGCATGGCCAACTCGACATCAGTCACGGCAAGGTGGGGAAACACCACCCCACCAAGCCACACCCACCCAAACCACACCCATAGAACCCACAGAAAAGTTTGGCCAAGTGTTCTAGCATTCAACCTGGCTTCTTTTTGCCTCCTTCTCACATTTGCTCTGTGTGTATGAGCCTGAGAAGGAGGAGAGAAGCAGCCACTGTGATGACTCCTCTCCTAACTTGAGAAAGTAAAGACTCTTGAAACTGATTATTTCAAAAGGAACCTTTAATCAGGCA